GTTTACATTCAGAAGTGGTTGCTCAGACAGCAAATTAGTTTACTTTGAAGCTAATATTTCGCTTTCTAAGCCACAGTATTATATAAAATTTTCTGTCTTCCGAGTTCTGTTGTCTTATAAAGATAAACCGTTAAAATTTCAGCGAAATATATTCGGCATTTGATGCTGTCTGGCTAAGATTCATACAGTATAAATATGCCAATCCTGTCCGCGTTTTAAATATAACCGAACATCTTTAATATCCAAATCTGATCATTAATGGTGCATTTTATTACCTGGACAAGTATCAGTATCTTTAAATTCAATTTATGTGCAATTTTGACCAAAATTCAACCGACGACTGCTTTCAATATATATATATATATATATATATATATATATATATATATATATATATATATATATATATATATATATATATATATATATATATATAGGGTGTCCCAAAAAAACCCGAAAGTTATTGAAATCACCAATAACAATTTAATTGTTAGAATTTGAATGCCTTAGCGCTCTGTTGGTTCCCACGAGTGCATAAATGATTGACATAAGTAAATTTTATGCATAAAGAAACTGTTTAAGAAGCTGTTTTTAATTCCCAGGAGCAGAAAACGCGCACTTTACCAGATGATATTCCTAACTAAATTCTAATACATGCACCTTGTCAATATTTTGGCATCATTACGTCCAGCTGTTTGGTAGGGCATTCAAATTTAACAATAAGTGATTTCAATAGTTTTCTTTTTTTTGGGACACCCTGTAGTTTCACTTAGGAAAAATACCTTGGCTTGCGGAGGAGGATAGCTTTTAAATACTTTAGATGTATTTATGTAATAATCCAAGTTGTGATTAGTTGGACCAGTTAATATACGCTAACAACGACGTAAAGCAACTAGTTAAAATGACTCAAAGCGACCAAGTGGAGCTAAGACCCAAATCGTTCAAATTGTAAAACATGTGAAATAATATTTTGTAAAATATGTGAATTAATAGGTAGTCTTTGTTATTTAAAAGAAGTGTTTATACAAATTAGAAACCAAAGAAGACAAAGACTACCTATTAATTCACATATTTTACAGCCAGTCAGGTACGCAAGTCTCGGAAAGAACACTTCTCTGCTCCCTTGATGTGCATTTTCTTTTCACATTTAAAGGTAAGTACAGTTTAATAGTTTATATATCAAATCTCTACTTATTCGTGAAAGCATTCATCAAGTTATGAACCGTTTAGTTGCAAATATCGAGGGAAACAGTGACGTTTCAAATTTAAGTGAAATTCAGCTGTACTCGAAAATTGTGTCAGTGCAGTGATCAGTGTTCGATACAAATACAACAGGGCTAGCTCGAAAAGACGAAATAACGGCCGATCAACGATCGGCAGGAAATTGCTGTTGATCGGCAGAGAAGCAAGGTTGCCGATCATCTTGATCGGCATTCGGCAAACAATATTTTGACCATTAGGGAGCTTATGCTTCACGTTCATAGTCATACGTCAGACGAAACATTTTACGGTATAAGGGGCTGTTTATATGGAAGCGAGCCAGCTTGGGTACCCGAGCTGGCTCGTCTTCCCGGGATGAATTTCACCACGCGTTTACATGAGACTGCTCAGGCGGGCTGGCTCGCGAAACAAGCAAAATTTTCCCCGGCACGTGTATTTGGGCATGCGCAAAAAGACAATATTTTACTTAAAAGCCGAGCCAGCTCGGGTAAACGCGTTTATATGGAAAACAACCTAGCCCGCCGGTTACCCGATGTCCCGGGTCACAAGAAGTAGGATTTCGGCTAGGCGAGCTAGCTCGGTTCTCATGTAAACACAAGATGAAATTTATTAGGAGTAGAAACAAAGGGTACCCGAGCTGGCTCGCCTCATATAAACAGCCCCTAAGACAATAAAGGGAAAATGAACTAGCTAGTTTAAAACTGTAATGCCAGTATGGTGATTCTTTTGAGATGAGAATGAAAATATGGAAGTGAAGAAGTTAAGCGAAAATTTGGTAAGAAACTACGATTCTACAGTTACCCGTTTAAAGAACGTATCTTCCTGATCGGCCAGATTTTCACTTGATCGGCAGAAAATCACGACTGCTGATCACCATGATCGGGAACGTTGGAAACGTTATTTCGAGCCCTGAACAGTGAACAATGCTAATATCGCATGCCAATACCTTCCTTAGAGCGACATGATTATAGTACACATATTTGATGGTGACAAAATGCTCATAAGCAATGTACCGTATTTCCTCTATTTAGCCCCTTTGGGAGCTTTTTTTTTGCTAGCTTTTAAGTGGGGACTTATTAGAAGGGGGGCTAAATAGAGGGTGGGGGCTTAAATAAATTTTCACCCGAAATTGGTATCGTAAATATACTAATGGGGGCTAGATAGAGGAAATGAGGACATGCAATGCATGAATAAGGTGGCACAAATAGAAAGCCAAATTTGGTTATAAAAACTGTGTAAAATACATTAAATACTATCAAGCATTCAAGGTTTACACTTTAAAATTTTAAATACGTCGTTATGCATTACTTTATGTAAAAGCGGCGCCTGGGGGCAAATTCACAAAATGACTAAACTAAAAAAGACGTAAGAGACGTAAAATGATTTATATTCTTGTTGAGAATTAAAAACTAAAGCTGATGGGGGTCGTTAACTTCAATTGACCCATTAAGTTGCTACCCCGCGTTTCTAAGGAAAAACAGAACTTACCAATCAGTGACGATTTTGGTTGAAAGTCGTATTGGCATGTCGAACCTCCATTAAGGATTTAAGCAGCGGCCCTCCTTTAAATGTCCACACTCCACTTTCCATTTAATAGGAAAAATGAAAGTACCACAAAAATGGTGGATATTCGCC